ACATGTTGTGTGTAGGTACACATGTGCTGTGTATGTACACATGTGCTGTGTAGGTACACATGTGCTGTGTAGGTACACATGTGCTGTGTAGGTACATATGTGCTGTGTAGGTACACATGTGCTGTGTAGGTACACATGTGCTGTGTATGTACACATGTGCTGTGTATGTACACATGTGCTGTGTATGTACACATGTGCTGTGTATGTACACATGTGCTGCGTATGTACACATGTGCTGTGTATGTACACATGTGCTGTGTCTGTACACATGTGCTGTGTATGTACACATGTGCTGTGTATGTACACATGTGCTGTGTATGTACACATGTGCTGCGTATGTACGCATGTGCTGTGTATGTACACATGTGCTGTGTATGTACACATGTGCTGTGTATGTACACATGTGCTGCGTATGTACACGTGCTGTGTATGTACACATGTGCTGCGTATGTACACATGTGCTGTGTTGGTACACATGTGCTGTGTAGGTACACATGTGCTGTGTAGGTACACATGTGCTGTGTATGTACACATGTGCTGTGTATGTACACATGTGCTGTGTATGTACACATGTGCTGTGTAGGTACACATGTGCTGTGTAGGTACACGTGCTGTGTAGGTACACATGTGCTGTGTAGGTACACATGTGCTGTGTACGTACACACGTGCTGTGTATGTACACATGTGCTGTGTAGGTACACATGTGCTGTGTAGGTACACATGTGCTGTGTACGTACACATGTGCTGTGTACGTACACACGTGCTGTGTATGTACACATGTGCTGTGTATGTACACATGTGCTGTGCATGTACACATGTGCTGTGTATGTACACATGTGCTGCGTATGTACACATGTGCTGTGCATGTACACATGTGCTCTGTATGTACACATGTGCTGTGTATGTACACATGTGCTGTGTAGGTACACATGTGCTGTGTAGGTACACATGTGCTGTGTATGTACACATGTGCTGTGTAGGTACACATGTGCTGTGTAGGTACACATGTGCTGTGTAGGTACACATGTGCTGTGTATGTACACATGTGCTGTGTAGGTACGCATGTGCTGTGTATGTACACATGTGTTGTGTAGGTACACATGTGCTGTGTAGGTACACATGTGCTGTGTATGTACACATGTGCTGTGTAGGTACACATGTGCTGTGTAGGTACACATATGCTGTGTATGTACACATGTGCTGTGTAGGTACACATGTGCTGTGTATGTACACATGTGCTGTGTGGTACACATATGCTGTGTATGTACACATGTGCTGTGTATGTACACATGTGCTGTGTAGGTACACATGTGCTGTGTAGGTACACATGTGCTGTGTAGGTACACATGTGCTGTGTAGGTACACATGTGCTGTGTAGGTACACATATGCTGTGTATGTACACATGTGCTGTGTAGGTACACATGTGCTGTGTATGTACACATGTGCTGTGTAGGTACACATATGCTGTGTATGTACACATGTGCTGTGTATGTACACATGTGCTGTGTAGGTACACATGTGCTGTGTAGGTACACATGTGCTGTGTAGGTACACATGTGCTGTGTAGGTACACATGTGCTGTGTATGTACACATGTGCTGTGTAGGTACACATGTGCTGTGTAGGTACACATGTGCTGTGTATGTACACATGTGCTGTGTATGTACACATGTGCTGTGTAGGTACACATGTGCTGTGTAGGTACACATGTGCTGTGTAGGTACACATGTGCTGTGTAGGTACACATGTGCTGTGTAGGTACACATGTGCTGTGTAGGTACACATGTGCTGTGTATGTACACATGTGCTGTGTAGGTACACATGTGCTGTGTAGGTACACATGTGCTGTGTATGTACACATGTGCTGTGTAGGTACACATGTGCTGTGTATGTACACATGTGCTGTGTAGGTACACATGTGCTGTGTAGGTACACATATGCTGTGTATGTACACATGTGCTGTGTAGGTACACATGTGCTGTGTATGTACACATGTGCTGTGTAGGTACACATGTGCTGTGTAGGTACACATGTGCTGTGTATGTACACATGTGCTGTGTAGGTACACATGTGCTGTGTATGTACACATGTGCTGTGTAGATATACATGTGCTGTGTAGGTACACATGTGCTGTGTATGTACACATGTGCTGTGTTGGTACACATGTGCTGTGTAGGTACACATATGCTGTGTATGTACACATGTGGTGTGTATGTACACATGTGTTGTGTAGGTACACATGTGCTGTGTAGGTACACATGTGCTGTGTAGGTACACATATGCTGTGTATGTACACATGTGCTGTGTATGTACACATGTGCTGTGTATGTACACATGTGCTGTGTAGGTACACATATGCTGTGTATGTACACATGTGCTGTGGTCTGTGCAATAATACAGCTTGTGGTCACTTTTACTTCTGATGTGACTTAAGAGAAACAATCTCCTGATGTCAGGTTTTGTAAGTTATCATGCCACAACAGTTTCATTGATCAAATTGGTCTATGTGAAATAATTGAAGAATGTTTCTTACGATCAGGATATTCTAGGTTAATTAAACATAATGTTAGTTTGTGTGTTTATAACATCTGTTAAAAATCTGTATGTAAACTAAATACTGTCTTTCATGCGATAATTTCCGAGTGTCGCAGCTGATTTTATTTTTAACCTTTCAATGATAATAACTTTGTCATGGAACTTCTGGGCAGCTTCAAGCTTAATATTCCTTGTGTATTTTAGGAAATTGGCCTCTTTGGTCTCTTTGAAAGGTTTTAATTGGATTTGGCCTGTGTCCTAATTTACCACTTTTATGGCGTTTTAAAGTTTAATAAACAGAGATTTTCCTATTTTTGGCAACATTCTCAGCAACATTTTCGTTTGTGTTTTCTTAAATTTGAGTTTATTACTTGAGAACGTCTTATTCGACCGACTTTAAGTTTTCAGTGTTAGTGTAGTGCATCTTGGACAAGATTCATGGGGCTAGATTCATGGGGCAAGATTCATGGGGCAAGATTCATGGGGCAAGATTCATGGGGCAAGATTCATGGGGCTAGATTCATGGGGCAAGATTCATGGGGCTAGATTCATGGGGCAAGATTCATGGGGCAAGATTCATGGGCAAGATTCATGGGGCAAGATTCATGGGGCTAGATTCATGGGGCAAGATTCATGGGGCTAGATTCATGGGGCAAGATTCATGGGGCAAGATTCATGGGGCAAGATTCATGGGGCTAGATTCATGGGGCAAGATTCATGGGGCAAGATTCATGGGGCAAGATTCATGAGGCAAGATTCATGAGGCAAGATTCATTAGGACACAGATTCATTAGGACACAGATTCATTAGGACACAGATTCATTAGGACACAGATTTGGTCTGTGTCCGAATTTACCGCGTTTATTTAAGGAAACTGAATAATAATTTGTACATGATAACTTCTGTATGTCTCTCCAGAGACACTTCAGATCTGGTCTCATGCACCCTCCGAAATACATCTAGTTTAAATAGCTGTTGCGTCACCGTCAGTATACGTTGTTTCAGCCTGAAAGGGGTGTCAGCCTGAAGGGGGGTGTCAGCCTGAAGGGGGGTGTCAGCCTGAAGGGGGGTGTCAGCCTGAAGGGGGGTGTCAGCCTGAAAGGGGTGTCAGCCTGAAGGGAGGTGTCAGCCTCAATGGAGGTAGACTTGGCCTCAGTGCAGGTAGTGGTGTTAGGTTCAGTGGAGGTGATGACAGCGTCAGTTTGTGTCAGTTAGACTCCTGAGCTGACATGGTTCTGCAGTATAATTTCTAACGGAGGAATTCTTTAAAAACTTGTGGCGTCAGCAGGATCCAGGCGCCAGAAAACATAAAAAACCCGCAGCAGAAAGATGGAGGGAAGACCACACGCCGGGGTCACGGGAAGGGAAGTAGGGGGGAGACAGAGTCCGTCACGCCGGGGTCACGGGAAGGGAAGTAGGGGGGAGACAGAGTCCGTCACGCCGGGGTCACGGGAAGGGAAGTAGGGGGGAGACAGAGTCCGTCACGCCGGGGTCACGGGAAGGGAAGTAGGGGGGAGACAGAGTCCGTCACGCCGGGGTCACGGGAAGGGAAGTAGGGGGGAGACAGAGTCCGTCACGCCGGGGTCACGGGAAGGGAAGTAGGGGGGAGACAGAGTCCGTCACGCCGGGGTCACGGGAAGGGAAGTAGGGGGAGACAGAGTCCGTCACGCCGGGGTCACGGGAAGGGAAGTAGGGGGGAGACAGAGTCCGTCACGCCGGGGTCACGGGAAGGGAAGTAGGGGGGAGACAGAGTCCGTCACGCCGGGGTCACGGGAAGGGAAGTAGGGGGGAGACAGAGTCCGTCACGCCGGGGTCACGGGAAGGGAAGTAGGGGGGAGACAGAGTCCGTCACGCCGGGGTCACGGGAAGGGAAGTAGGGGGGAGACAGAGTCCGTCACGCCGGGGTCACGGGAAGGGAAGTAGGGGGGAGACAGAGTCCGTCACGCCGGGGTCACAGGAAGGGAAGTAGTGGGGGAGACAGGGTCCATTTAGCCGGGGGAATAGGAAGTGTAGTAGGTGGAATGAGAGAGAAGGGAGCAAGGCCACAGGCTGGGAAATAGGGAGAGGAGGTTACAGGAGCGGAGGGACGAAACGTGTCATCGCGGGAAGGGGGCGGGGAGGGGGAGAGGTGGAAGGGTTAAGATGTACGCAGGATATGTGTTCAGGAAAAAATGAGGCAAGTGAACACAAGAGGGGGATAAGGAGTGGAGCAGGAGGATGAGCGTCCTGGGATGCTGCCTTGATGCTGCTGCTTCTCCCTCAATGTTCAAGAATGATAGTTGCTACTGTTATCTCTGCATTAACTATCTTCTTAAACAACACTCGTGTTTATATAGGTTATTTATCTCCGCACATTGTTTTGTACATTACTTATTAAATGTCTTAAAAGCAATAAATACATTGACTGGTAACCAGTAAGGAGGAGTGTTGGGTAAAGTCAGGTCGGGAACCTCCAGCTTGTCAGTGTTGTCTTGGCAGTGAGAGTGAGAGGACGCGCCAGCTACGTCTCCAACCTTAGTCAAACCGTAAGCTCGAGACGTGTATTTCAGTGACACCAGATTCCCTCTAAACTATGCTTATTTAGAGTGAAGTTGTGACTTTATAGACACGTCGGTGTGTGCTTGAACAAGTATTTATTGATAAGATACAATGTGAGTTCAAGACACAAGTTCTGGTTTGTTTTGGAAGCGAAGCAGCGTCATGCTATGTAATGTGAGTATTATGTTGGCAGGGTGTGGGTACTGGTGGCAGGGTGTGGGTACTGATGGCAGGGTGTGAGTACTGGTGGCAGGGTGTGGGTACTGATGGCAGGGTGAGTACTGGTGGCAGGGTGTGGGTACTGGTGGCAGGGTGTGAGTACTGGTGGCAGGGTGTGGGTACTGGTGGCAGGGTGTGGGTACTGATGGCAGGGTGTGGGTACTGGTGGCAGGGTGTGGGTACTGGTGGCAGGGTGTGGGTACTGGTGGCAGGGTGAGTACTGGTGGCAAGGTGTGGGTACTGGTGGCAGGGTGTGGGTACTGATGGCAGGGTGTGGGTACTGGTGGCAGGGTGTGGGTACTGGTGGCAGGGAGTGAGTACTGGTGGCAGGGTGTGGGTACTGGTGGCAGGGTGTGGGTACTGATGGCAGGGTGTGGGTACTGGTGGCAGGGTGTGGGTACTGGTGGCAGGGTGTGAGTACTGGTGGCAGGGTGTGAGTACTGGTGGCAGGGTGTGGGTACTGGTGGCAGGGTGTGGGTACTGGTGGCAGGGTGAGTACTGGTGGCAGGGTGTGGGTACTGGTGGCAGGGTGTGGGTACTGGTGGCAGGGTGTGAGTACTGGTGGCAGGGTGTGGGTACTGGTGGCAGGGTGTGGGTACTGATGGCAGGGTGTGGGTACTGGTGGCAGGGTGTGGGTACTGGTGGCAGGGTGTGGGTACTGGTGGCAGGGTGAGTACTGGTGGCAGGGTGTGGGTACTGGTGGCAGGGTGTGGGTACTGATGGCAGGGTGTGGGTACTGGTGGCAGGGTGTGGGTACTGGTGGCAGGGAGTGAGTACTGGTGGCAGGGTGTGAGTAGGCTGGTGGCAGGGTGTGGGTACTGGTGGCAGGGTGAGTACTGGTGGCAGGGTGTGAGTACTGGTGGCAGGGTGTGGGTTACTGGTGGCAGGGTGTGAGTACTGGTGGCAGGGTGTGAGTACTGGTGGCAGGGTGTGGGTACTGGTGGCAGGGTGTGGGTACTGGTGGCAGGGTGTGAGTACTGGTGGCAGGGTGTGGGGTACTGGTGGCAGGGTGTGGGTACTAGTGGCAGGGTGTGGTACTGATGGCAGGGTGTGGTACTGGTGGCAGGGTGTGAGTACTGGTGGCAGGGTGTGAGTACTGGTGGCAGGGTGTGAGTACTGGTGGCAGGGTGTGAGTACTGGTGGCAGGGTGTGGGTACTGGTGGCAGGGTGTGGGTACTGGGGGCAGGGTGTGAGTACTGGTGGCAGGGTGAGTACTGGTGGCAGGGTGTGAGTACTGGTGGCAGGGTGATGGTGGCTGGGTGTGAGTACTGGTGGCAGGGCGATGGTGGCAGGGTGTGGGTACTGGTGGCAGGGTGAGTACTGGTGGCAGGGTGTGAGTACTGGTGGCAGGGTGTGGGTACTGGTGGCAGGGTGAGTACTGGTGGCAGGGTGTGAGTACTGGTGGCAGGGTGTGAGTACTGGTGACAGGGTGTGAGTACTGGTGGCAGGGTGTGGGTACTAGTGGCAGGGTGTGGGTACTGGTGGCAGGGTGTGGGTACTGGTGGCAGGGTGTGAGTACTGGTGGCAGGGTGTGGGTAATGGTGGCAGGGTGTGGGTACTGGTGGCAGAGTGTGAGTACTAGTGGCAGGGTCTCGGTGGCAGGGTGTAGGTACTGGTGGCAGGGTGTGGGTACTGGTGGCAGGGTGTGAGTACTGGTGGCAGGGTGTGAGTATTGGTGGCAGGGTGTGAGTATACTGGTGGCAGGGTGTGGGTACTAGTGGCAGGGTGTCGTGGCAGGGTGTGGGTACTAGTGGCAGGGTGTCGGTGGCAGGGTGTGGGTACTGGTGGCAGGGTGTGAGTACTGGTGGCAGGGTGTGAGTACTGGTGGCAGGGTGTGGGTACTGGTGGCAGGGTGTGGGTACTGGTGGCAGGGTGTGGGTACTGGTGGCAGGGTGTGGGTACTGGTGGCAGGGTGTGAGTACTGGTGGTAGGTTGTGGGTACTGGTGGCCGGGTGTGAGTACTGGTGGCAGGGTGTGGGTACTAGTGGCAGGGTGTCGGTGGCAGGGTGTGGGTACTGGTGGCAGGGTGTGGGTACTAGTGGGTAGGGTGACGTGGCAGGGTGTGGGTACTGGTGGCAGGGTGTGAGTACTGGTGACAGGGTGATGGTGGCAGGGTGTGGGTACTGGTGGCAGGGTGTGGGTACTGGTGGCAGGTGTGGGTACTAGTGGTAAGGTGACGGCGGCAGGGTGTGGGTACTGGTGGCAGGGTGTGAGTACTGGTGATAGGGTGACGGTGGCAGGGTGTGGATACTGGTGGCAGGGTGTGGGTACTGGTGACAGGGTGACTGTATTAGTGGTAGGGTGACTGTACTAGTGAAGATACAATGGTGACAGAGTGAGGGTGCTTGTAGTAATTGATTGTATAGACTTACTCATCCCATACCCATCCTGCTCACAATACTCAAAATTACCATCTAATGTTATTTATAGTAATGATGTTTGGTGTGGCAAGATTTAATTAACGTTGGAAGCGTATGTGGTGGCAGGGTACTGTGTACTGATGTTAAGATGTATGGTGGCAGGGTACTGTGTACTGATGTTAAGGTGTGGGTGTAAACTGGGGAAAAAATGGGTGTGTTGGCAGGGTTCACTAGTTATTGTTGGCATGGTTCACCAGTTATTGTTGACATGGTTCACCAGTTATTGTTGGCAGAGTTCGCAACTTACTGATGGCAGGGTTCACTAATTATTGTTGGCAGGGTTGGTAACTGTTGATATTTAAATAACAGTTAAAATGGGTTGAAAGCAATTAGTTACACCGGGGTCGTAACTATGGCTGCTCTATAATAACTTGACAAATGTGTTCCTGACAGTGCACAATACACTCCTGTCTTGTTTACAAGCGACACTCGGATCACATTACAACATTACAAACAATAAACAATACAAAACACAACAAAACATTTAAAAAAGCATATCCATTCGTTGTACGTATGTTTACGTGTGAACGAAAAAAAAATCTGTGGAAATTACAACCACGATATGAACTTTTCTCAAGCTGGAAGTGCAGTGTTAACACGAGGGTGGCCATGACGACACTGAAGTGCAGTGTTAACACGAGGGTGGCCATGACGACACTGAAGTGCAGTGTTAACACGAGGGTGGCCATGACGACACTGAAGTGCATTGTTAACACGAGGGTGGCCATGACGACACTGAAGTGCATTGTTAACACGAGGGTGGCCATGACGACACTGAAGTGCATTGTTAACACGAGGGTGGCCATGACGACACTGAAGTGCATTGTTAACACGAGGGTGGCCATGACGACACTGAAGTGCAATGTTAACACGAGGGTGGCCATGACGACACTGAAGTGCATTGTTAACACGAGGGTGGCCATGACGACACTGAAGTGCATTGTTAACACGAGGGTGGCCATGACGACACTGAAGTGCAATGTTAACACGAGGGTGGCCATGACGACACTGAAGTGCAATGTTAACACGAGGGTGGCCATGACGACACTGAAGTGCATTGTTAACACGAGGGTGGCCATGACGACACTGAAGTGCATTGTTAACACGAGGGTGGCCATGACGACACTGAAGTGCATTGTTAACACGAGGGTGGCCATGACGACACTGAAGTGCATTGTTAACACGAGGGTGGCCATGACGACACTGAAGTGCAATGTTAACACGAGGGTGGCCATGACGACACTGAAGTGCAATGTTAACACGAGGGTGGCCATGACGACACTGAAGTGCATTGTTAACACGAGGGTGGCCATGACGACACTGAAGTGCATTGTTAACACGAGGGTGGCCATGACGACACTGAAGTGCATTGTTAACACGAGGGTGGCCATGACGACACTGAAGTGCATTGTTAACACGAGGGTGGCCATGACACTGAAGTGCATCGTTAACACGAGGGTGGCCATGACACAAAGTGCATTGTTAACACGAGGGTGGCCATGACACGAAGTGCATTAACACGACGGTGGCCATGACAACTCTGGAAGTGCATTGTTAACACGACGGTGGCCATGACGACTCTGGAAGTGCATTAACACGACGGTGGCCATGACTCTGGAAGAGCATTGTTAACACGACGGTGGCCATGACGACCCTGGAAGTTAATTTAACACGACGGTGGCCATGACAACACTGGAAGTGCATTGTTAACACGACGGTGACCTTGACACTGAAAGTGCATTGTTAATACGACTGTGGCCATGACACGAAGTGCATTGTTAACACAACTGTGGCCATGATGACACTGGAAGTGCATTGTTAACACGACGGTGGCCATGACATGAAGTGCATTAACACGACTGTGGCCTTAATGACACTGGAAGTGCATTGTTAACGCGACTGTGTCCATGACGACATGAAGTGTATTGTTAACTCGACTGTGGTCATGATGACACTAAGTGCATTGTTAACACGACTGTGACCATGACACTAAAAGTGCATTGTTAACACGAGTGTGGCTATGACACTGGAAGTGCATTGTTGACACGACTGTGGCCATGACACTGGAAGTGCATTGTTAACACGACTGTGGAGATGACACTGGAAGTTAACACGACTGTGACCATGACTTGAAGTGCACTGTTAACACGTCTAAGGTCATTACATTCTGGAAATGCACTGTTAACACTACTATGGCCATGATCAGCGCTGTATGACCCTTGTAGGTTTAGCGCTTCTTTTTTATTATAATATGGCCATGATAATGCTCTGGAAATGTTAACACGAGTGTGGCTATGACGGCTCTTGAAGTGGATTGTTAACACGTCTAAAGCTATTGCATTCTGGAAGTGCACTGTTAACACGACTAGGGCCATGACGATGTTCTGGAAGTGTCAACACGACTGTAACCATGACGATGTTCTGGAAGTGTCAACACGACTGTAACCGTGACGATGTTCTGGAAGTGTCAACACGATTGTAACCGTGACGATATTCTGGAAGTGTCAACACGACTGCAACCGTGACGATGGTCTG